GCACTGATGTTCATGACAAAGCATGGAGTGGCTGGCCTTCTGTTGTCAATGATGGTTTGGTTGCAAAAGTGAATGAAAAAATTCCTGAAAACAGACAGTTCACAATAAGATTGCTTTGTGATGAGTTTCCACAAATTTCAAATACTGTTTTGCATGAGATTGTTGCAACAACTGATGTTCAGCAGTGGCTGTCTTCACTGGCGGCATCTTTCTTTGAAGAGGGTATAGACAAGTTGGTTTCCCGATATGACAAATGTCTGAACAATGGTGGTAACTATGTAGAAAAATAGTTTCAGACATGCTCTTTCATGTAAAAATAAATTTTGTTTTGAAAAAATATTTTTTATGTGAGTTTTTCCAAAACGGTACTTACTTTCCAGACATGCCTCGTAATTTTGATTTTAGTCACTTGTAAAATGTCACATGTAAAAAAGTAATCACCTCTTTGAAATAACATTTTGCCTCCTAATACAGTAGAACATCGTTTATCTGAAAGCATTCTAGTCAGCAAATTTAAATTTCTGCTAGTGCTGTGGTGCTGCAACCTTTGGCTATGTCTTGGGCTACTCCAATATTTTTTTTGTGTGTGTGTGTTTTAGCTGGCAGCACTGGCACTTTTGTGTGGTGTTTTTCTGAGTACTGTGTGTTGTGCTAAATTGAACGCTTCTGATACTAGATTAACTTCTAAAGTATAATTTTTTTTTTTCAATATATTTATTTTGTTTCTACAAAATAAAGAAATAATTTTTAACAATACAATAGCCATGATTATTATTATAAAAAATTTCATTAGGCTTAACATTGATGAAAATTCAATGCTAAGTGACACACAATGGAGAAAAATTTCAACATTAATATATTTTTTTCATACATAATTGGTTATACGAAAAATAAGTTATTCGAACAACCCCATTCTTCAATCGATTCAGACAAATGATGCTCTACTGTATTTATATTCATAGTGATAAAATGTATTGTTTTTCATAGAGAAGTAATTTTCAAATAATTATCTTTTCTATTCATGTCAACAAAATTTGCTTAAAATATTTATTGCAGAATAAATATTATAAATATAATTACTTTTTCAAATCTTTCTTCTCCACTTCTCAACTGTTCCTGTAATTTTTCCTGTGCTTTCCGCTGTTGTAGAATAAAATTTTCTAATTGCTGTAACTGCATATTATATAATGTTTTTACTGTTGCCTCATCTAGTATAGCATCAAAAGCACCAAATACATCTCTATGAAGAGCTGCCCAAGGATCAGTACTTGCATTTGTTCTTTTGCAAGGATAAAGCAGTTGTTTTATCTGTTCAGCCTAAAAAATATATTATTAATAAATAGTTAGAAAATAATATAAATTTGTTTAATACTATACAATATTATAATTATATAATTAAATAAAAACTTACAGTGCCATTTCTTTTTCTTATTAATAAAAATTCAATATTCCAAAAATGATTTCAATATTTGTATGTATTTTGTTCACAAATATATTACATATTAACTCATATCTGGTGAGCAATAAATTTTAATATCAATAAAATTTTGAATTTTTCTTTAAAAATTTACAAGCATGCTAAATTTGTTATGAAATTTTATTTTATTAAAAAAAAAGCTTGACAGTAAATATGACATGTATTAATACACATTGAAGAGTACAATAAAACTAATGTTGCTCTAATGACTAAGTTAAATATGAAGCAAATTTAATATGAAATACTGTATGATATAGGCTAACATACTTCAAATTTTCTGTGAATCAATCCTAGATTTAAATGATACAATTGAACACTCCTACTCTAACTTTATGTTATAAGTTCCAATAATTTTCCTCTCTATATATAAAATTCTCATAACTGTTTAGAAGCTAAGTAACTGACTTTTAACTAGAATCAATAAATGCCATCAACATTAAAACTTTTTCTAACTTTTCTGATCTTATTTGAGAATTTACTATTTTGTTGATGGATTTATCCTACTTGGTCAATACCAGTACTCAAAGCTATGCCAGACAAATTCAAGGTATATTCAGATCAGGCCTGTGGAGTCAGAGTTGGGAGGAATTTTTGGCCAGAGGAGTTGGAGTCAAAAAAAATGTGTCAACTTCGACTCTGGCATTTTAAATTTATTAATTTTTAAAAATACATTTGTATTTTGTTATAATTCATTTATTTTAAATACAAAATGCAACAATTTAATTTATTAAATATGTATCAATAGTTTTCTTTGTATTATTTGTGTTTAATAGTTAAATTATTTTGATCCAATTGAATTTGATTATTATTGATTCATTCCTCTCTTATCCCCACTCTAAATAAGTACTATTATTTTTCTGAATGAGCCAGACTAATTGATCAGCGTATATATTTTTCTTTTCTGAACAAGGGGCTGAAGTAGCTAGATAGTTCAATTAAAAAGTGTGTGAACTTTTCTGGAAAGGTGAAATTGAAATGCAAAAGCTGTAGAATAAAGATATGCAGATGTAGAATTTTATCACTCCTTTTTTCCTCTTATTAAATATTTGTTAAAAATTAATTTTTTTATACAAATAAATATTAATGTAAGTTAAATATTAAAAATACTAACTATGAAAGTATTTTGGTAAATGTCTGTGCCACCTTTCAGAGTTCAGAGTAGGGTAACCCCCTAAGAGCATGCATAAAATGACCTGGTATTTAATTTTGCTGGAGTCAAAAGTCAGAGTCGGTCTATTAAAATTATCAGGAGTCAGAGTCAAGTGTTTTTCTTACCGACTTCACAGCCCTGATTCAGACACAGAAAAACTCTTACTGTGCTTATGCTGTTTGTGCATGTATTTAAAAATTTCCTATATTTGCTAACTTTTTCAGTTTAAGTATTTTGTATATTGAGGATGTTTGGAACAACTATGTCTATAATGTATGTAATTTTGTTTTGTTTTGTTTGTCAATGAACATGATGTCTGGTCTATTGTGGTGCATTATTTTCTCTGTAATTATGACTCAGCCATAATATATTTTGTGAATATTTTCTTTACAAAAAGAAATTTAAAAATTTGTTTTCAACTATGCAAAAATTATTAAATTATAAAATTAATATAGATTTAAATAATATATTAAAATATATAATAATGTAAAATGATCATTTTTATTTTACACTTAAAAACAATAGAAAATTCACAAACCTTAAGAACTGCTATTACTATTTCTCGTGCTTGCAATTCACCTTCTAATACACTCAACAACTGTAGAAGATCATTCTTATTGAGTTCTGTTTTTGGATGGCGCTGAAAAATTCAATATCATTTGTAAGACAAATAATATATTTTAAATATTAAATTATTTATTATAAATATTGAATATAGCCTTTACTGTTATAATGCATATTTCTAATGCAAAAATTTGTTCATATGTTGTAAATATGGGAATAAAATCACTAAAACATGAAATCTTGTTTGCTCATTTGTGGCTTTTTACAAGGTGATTAGGCTTTGTATTACCAGGTGAACTGAAGACACCACTCACCTAAAAATAGTGACATATGTAGTGTGAAATTGCATTTTGTTTCAAAATTATCAATTTAAAAGATTGACACTTTAAGGCTGATTTACTTTCGTAATAAAATTTATTAACCAAAACGACATCATATTATCCAATACTAAGCAGAACAGTATCAAGGGAACCTTTTGGGATGATTATCACTTTGGAGATCTCCCTATCAAACACCGAAATATTCATAAAGATCAATATTGCCACAAAAGTTTGTTTTCATGTTACAAATTCAGAATGTGCCATTTGAATTACCAAAATTCTCAATCATATAATATATACAAAAGATAGGAGTCCCAGAATAATAATTAATTAAAATGATCTTATATCTAAAACTTAAAAACTGAAAAAATTAAATTAAGTGTTATTGGACAGTGAAGAACAAGAAAAGAATAATAAAAGGAACTCATAAACCATGAACTGACAATACAGTCAAAAGCACCAGCATTGAGGGCTGAAGTGACATAACATTTCATAATTTAACTGTATATTGAATGTAATAAATTTTGTATTTGTTTTGACTGGTGTGATAATCCCTAATATAAATTAACTGTTTTAAGTTTGGTGTTTTTGTGCTCTCTGAGCAGTAAAGGGCCTAAAACAACAAATAAAAAAACTTTTAAATTAATGTAATGTGTTTAATAAGTATAAGGGACAAAAGCAAAATCAATATCATTATGTCCAATATCAGAGCCTGGAATTGATGTTGCCAGGGAGAATCTTCTACCTGCCCTTATATCAACCTTTCAAAGTGAGTCCAACCTCAGTCTCACTGTAAATGCTTTCAGTACTTCCTCTCTCTAAATACAACCATTCATCACAAAATCCAAGTGAGAAGTGACCCGGAATTCCTTCACCTTTGCCCCACTAAGCTTGTTAATCTTTACCAATCATTGTTTCCAAACCAGAATAACCAGTATTACAGTGTTCTATGCAGTACTTTTCTAGCCACATCAAACAATGTGCCAGGTATCTTTTCAAGAGCAAAAAATATAGTGAATTCAATTCATGATTCCCATAGAATGGGAAAGGAATTTGTATTCACACTTGATTATAAATCAAAAGGTGTGAAACCTTTCAATACTCAGGATTTTGTGAACATTTCCTCATAATATCCTCCAATAGAGCAGTAGTTTGAAGATTTGGAAATTATTTTAACCTTTAAAATTTTTGTGATTTGAAATTTGCACAAAGTTTAGGTAAAGTCAAAAATGTAGATGTAATTTCACAGAAAAAACATTTACAAGAATTTTTAATATTCATATTATTTAAAGTAAGAATATATTTTTATTATGTCCAGCAGTAGGAAGGAACAGTACTCAGCTCAAACACAATGGTTTTAGAATGCTTTAACCAAACATTCCAAAACTCTTAAAACATTTTATTATCTGCAATGAAACAGTTTCTATGTCTAATTCATCAAGCTTTCACTTTGTTGAAACTGTTGTGAGTGACATATTAATAAAATAGACTGGGCTTCCCAATTGGATCAGTATTAATCTGTTAGGAGTCAATGAAACTTTAATTAAATATTTAAAAAAATTATTTATTCACTCTGAAATAAGTTTAGGAAGATACCTTTTAAAAATTATGTAAAATATCTGTTGCATATATATAACATTGAAGGGTTGATGAAAAAATTTTTCTTAAAAGGGTGGCATACAAATAAGGTTGGGAACTGCTGATGTAGACTGGTCATTGATTATGTTATGTACAAAATTGCTACATAAATGATATTTAAGAAAAAAACTGAATTAAAATTATCTTTAACATAATTGTCTAAGTGTAAACAAACTATTATTTTATTGGAGCATTGACAAATCAATGGTATCTTAATGAAGTGTTCCTAAAAATAACAAATAAGGCCATTGAGAGAGGAAACTCAGAATTTTTAAGACTACAGAAAACAAACCTGCAATGGTCCCTACTCTTATAAAATTAATGTTATTTTTACTAACAGAAAATAAAAAAAATAAAATAAAATGGTAAAAGGCATGCAAAGAGGCAAAAGAAGTATGCTCTATCCCAGGCTCCATACAAGTTCTGAATGGCCCCGTGCTTTCTGCTCTCTATTTATTGTGCTTTAAACAATACATTGAGTTTCAGAAACATACACAAAGCCAACAACTGTACATCATGTGGCCATCAGTGGCAAATCACTTGCAGAGAGAATATTCTGTCCACTGTGGGTTAGTTTTACAGCACAATATGTTCATTACCATGTTCAAATATCTGTCATGGAAAAACAATGTGAAGGATATGCATTGAAAAAAAAAAAAATATTGGTTTGTAGAACAAACCAATTCCAACAAGCTGATATAGTGGCATTGGTTACATCTGTAATAAAGTAAGTCAAATCTGATTTCACATGATTTTAAAAATGAGCTATGAATCTAAGAAGTTGAGAACCACTTGTATAGGAGAAATAATTGTTTCAATTATACTATAGTTATGTGAAAGAAATAAATTATTTCTAAAAGCTCTCAAGAATAGAAATGAAATACCATTTTTTATAAAATGTAAGAATGAACTTTTAGATGATAGAAAAATGTTAAATATAGAAGAAACAAATGTGCTATTTTTAAATCATATTGCCACAGATTTTGCAAGACATGATTAGCCTGATTTGGTTAACCATGCCAATTTTAAAATGTTGATTTATTTGATGGCCTGATGAATTTTAGAAAGAATTGAAATCTGGATGCTGGTATGCATTGGAGTTCATGTTGTGGATTACAAAGTTTTTGTTTTTTTCATTCTTTTTCTTGGTAATTTTGGCATAATTTTGAAACTAGTTAGTTAATTTTTGTTATTTTGTAATCTTAATAAATAATACTACATGTTCTGTGACAACATTAAACGATTATAGAAATAATTTTTAATTAAAAAATGTCATACAACCAAGCATCATAACATTTATTCTTCTAATGATATAGAGACATTAAATATTATAAAAACAAATTACTACAAATATTATAAAAGATTATTACAAACTAATTAATTTCATATAATATTTTTAAAATATAATATTTTAAAAATATTTTTCATAAATAAACAGTTTTAATTTTGAAATCATATGTAAAATATATTTTTTATATTAACTTGCATTGAATATTATTTTTGTTGTAAAATTTTATATAAAATAATCAACTTTCTATTTTGATTTCTTTTCTGCAATTAAAGGAAGGAAAAGGGGAAAATATCACATTTTCTAGAAGTCATCAAAATAAATTTAATTTATATTTTTAGAATTCTTACAAAAATTTAATTTTAAAAATAAAAAATTGTAGTGAAATATTTTTAATTAAACATAATTTTTTTTCTGTATCTAATATTAAAAGAAACACATCAATAATACAGTAAAACTGAAGATACTATATCATATCTTTAAAATAGAAAATGATTTTGATTGATAATATTAATCAGTTATTGACTGGCAATTATATCAGTAAGACCATTATTGGTCTCTCTAATTTTGATAAATGTCATATGATTTTAATTAAGTAATGAGTGTTAACTAAGAAATGATAATTACCAGTACTTTTTTGTTAAATGGTTTTTTTTCGTTTATAAATAATTTAGTTAAAATAGAATAAATGTATATATATATATATACTGCNTCGAACATAATTTTAGACCCATCTAAAAATTTTCTAATTAGTCTGGAAACAGGACAACCTAATTCTTGCTTTCTGTGAAAATGGGTAAGATTGGCTGTAATGTAATAATTTTAATCTTCACTATCGTTACTTTTTGCGCAAGCAACGCTGGGCTTATCTACTAGTTTATAAATAAAATTGTTAATGTAATTTGTATTTATTTAAGTTTTAAAATGATTAAAAAGTGGTTACTTAAAAATAACTGTTATTTAAGTAAATGTACAATCCAAATTTAAAAACATTTAAAATTTATTCTATTTGATTATTTTAATTGAACTGTACAGCTGTAATTATGAATCAATATGCTGCTAAAGGAATAAAATAATAAATAGATTAAAATATTTTTTTTTAGTTGTTTTATTTCATTATCATTTTTATGATGATGATACATAAGGAAAAGTCATATATACTAACAAATCCTGTGTCAAATCAATCCTGTACTGTTTTATAACTGAGTCATAAAATTAATAAGAATCATCATTTAAATTATTTTGATTTCTCAGAATTGTTGAATCAATATGTTCAACAATCAAATCAGAATTAGAAATTAAACTCAATTGTTTATCTACATTGAATGGACAATATTACTTTTCATTTTAATTATTTTTCTTATAATTTGACATTAAAGCAATTTTCAGTTATAAATAACAAGAACAGAAAACATGAATGCTACATTCTAATATACATTATTGAAAAATATGTACATATTTAAATTATAATTTCAGAAAATAAATTATTCAATATTTTAAGATAATGTGCGAAATGAAATATAATTAAGTGGAAAATAATTTAATATTTAATCATAAAATAATAATTTTAAATATAAGTTTCTATTATCACTTTCATTTTAATTTATTGATTTTTCAGCATCTTCAACATATTAAAATTATTTCAAGAATTAAATAATGAATTAAATTTATTATAATTCTCTATTTTTATTTTTTTATTTTTTATGACATCTTTATCTAATACATAAAATTATTTCATTATATACAAATGTTATATATAAAAGTGGTTGTTAACAACAAATATTTGTTGTTAACAACCACTAAACACATTCATTTCATTTTTATTGACAACAGTTATTATTTTTAAAAATGATGCAATAACTCAAAGTTTATACAGGGGTACAGAATATGTCTGAATGTGCAAACAAGGTTCAGGGAAATTAAAGCACTCCTGAGAAAATTTGCAATAGTAAAAAATTATGGCAATAGACAAAAAACTGTTACAATAAAATGGAGTAGCATCTTGGCTAACCCTATAGACATTAATTGGGAAAATTTGTCAAAACTTAGGGCAAGCTTTGTTACAAAAGTGTAATTGGAACATTCAATATCTAAATGTCTGACTAAAAGGCAAAAAATTAAATGTGACACAGATTATGAATGTGACAGTTATGTGAGGGATAAGTCAATCTTGATTACTAAATTGTGGTTTTGACTTTCACAAAAAACTGAAGCCAAACTTTATAAAGAAGTGAAAAAGAAAATTGGTTTTATTTCAGAACTCTTTTCAATACTATTTAAATGGGCAAAATTTAATGTCAGTCTAAATTAAAATAATACAGCCATTTGTTCCTCACAAAAAATTTGCAAATTAACAAACTGTGTTTAAAAACATTTTTTGAATTGTCTTGATTAAATAGCTGTACAAGTTTTATCATTACTTTATTAACATATTTTCCTTTATTTTTCATATTTTTTTATAAATATATTTCAATGCCAATACTTTAAAATTTATTGTAAAGTAAAAAATATCATAAAAATGTGGTTATGCTTTCAAAAAAACAAAAATAATGAAGTCAGCAAAAAACTCAAAAAATTGCTACATTTCTTAAATAATTTTTCAGAAAAAAATTGCACGACCATTGTAATTGTAAAGAAATTTTGCATTTTTGGACATCATAAAGCCTGTTAATTAGCACTCCATGCTAAAAATAAGTCATCCATGGTGTTGTAACAATGCCAGTCATATTCAACTTTAATTTTCTTTCCATTATAATCAACATATTAAAATCAAGCTTATAATCGTATATGCTAACTTATGATAAGACTTCCTTAAATTAAAGCATTCTTTTAAATTTAATTTATCAGTTTAGTGTTGTACAGCAAATTATATGGTAGGTCTATTTAACTATTTGTATAATTTAATTAGAATGTTTCAAACTATATAGTAATAATTATTAGTTTGTTCATAAAATGTTTTATTATGTGTGCTGGTGTGCAACAATTATGGGGACATTCTGTATATTCTGATGAAATTTACGCTCTGAGGAAATTTTGAGTCCTGGAAATATTTTGTATGCATGTTTGTGCCATTCATTTTTCAGATGATCTGAAATAGACTGATATCTTGCATATCTACATAACTTACATATTTAAAATGTCTTCTAAATTTTATATTAAATTTTTTTCATTAACTTTTTTACATAAAGAATTTTAAAATAAAAGTATTTAATCATTATTATTTAAATATCTCTTTAAGAGATTAACTATTTATTTGGAAAATTGGGAAAAAAGCTTATTTGATAACAAAGATCCATTTTAATATATTAATTGGTAATTAATTAGTATTACATATAAAAAAAATTGTACAAAATACCTTCAATGTATTGCTTGAAATCTTGTCTAAAGGTTCAAATGAACATGTACTTGATGAAGGTGACTTAGATGGAATTGTACGAGATGCCATTATTCTCTTTCACAAATAATCCAATATCAGAAAAAGATGAATGATGTTTGATATTTCAAAATCTGTTAAATATATTAAATATAAATTTATTTTTACATATATTTGGAAATGTTTTATTATAATAGATTAAAACATTTTTATCATCATATAATAAAAATAATACACAAATTCTTTAAAAAATGCATATTTAAATTCAATAAAATATATAAATTGTATAAGTTATATTTTAATCTGTTTTCTTCTCTTTTATTACCTAAAGATCTACTGAAAAATGTTTAGCATGTAATCCTTGTTGATAAGCAAATTATATTATTTTTCAACACTATCTCACAGGGAAAAATTCTCAACTTGTTAAGAACAAATTATATTAAAATATTATTGTCTGTCTAATTTTGGTCTGAATGACATTTTTGAACATGTGCATGAATGTTTTGAAAAAGCATGGAAAAATCAGATATTTTGCAAGCAGACTTTGAATATTTTTGCAGTCTCTCACAAAAATATAATAGAGTTACTGGGACTAAAATTGCTAATTAACAAATTCACTGTCCTCATAGGGAGCATTGTCCCTAGCCATGTACAAAAAACTTTAGTGTTTTGTTTTTATTTTGTTTTTATTTAAGTTAAAAATGTCAAGAATATATAATATATTCTTGACAATATAAGAATATATTATATAAAATATAATATATTCTTAGAAGTGTACAATAAACAATTTAAAAACTTCTTAAAAACAAATAATATAATTTTTCAAGTGAGAAACACAGCACATTTGAAAAATTTATGACAGAGCAAACATTTATGACACTCATGAGTGGGTTGTCATATGTGTTGTTGCAGTGTAGAACACTGAGCTGTCACCAACACTGAACATGTTAAACATTACCGTCATTGGTTAGTTTTGATTACAAAGTATTTATTGAGTTTAAAACTGCATTTTTATTCACAGAAATATATAGAATCAGAAATAGAGATACAAAGCATTGAATAATTCTAGGTCAGAAATACCTGACCGCGATTATTCAGCACTAAGACTGCATTTAGACAATCTGATGTTTGCCTATCTAGTTAAAATCTAGGCATTGAATGTCACCCAGATGAGTAGCAGTGTATTGAGAGGAATGAGACTTTTCATGCCATATGGACATGGTGAAATGTTCAACTGGATGTCAAATCTACTTGGATCTCTCCACTACATGCTCAAGGGCAAGCAGGGTAAATGTCCATGCTTGTCCTTGAGCATATAGCAACCTAGCAGAGCACTAGTGTAAATGTATGTCACCACAATGAGCACAATCCAGGTGATTAGTCATCTAGGCACTTTCAATTAGCTTCTGCACATGCTCCACAGCACTGTTTTGTCAGTTCTTTCAAATCACACTAGAAAAATAACAAAGAATCCATTGTAATGGATTCAAGAGACTGCTCAATTTCAGCTGGAAGAGGAGATAATTCTTGGAGGAGATAATAAGCTGAAAGAAAAGATAATAACCTGAAAACAAAGTTGAGGAGAAACAATTCTAACAAATAAATCTCAACCTAGAAAATCTCATACAAGCTATGCATAATGCCAAATGCTTTGCAAACTTCATTTATGTATGTAACCAAATAATAAAGTCAGACTCATTATTTGGCTAATAATCAGCTAATTAATTTTTTTAATTTAATAAGTAATGCTATACATACAAATGTTATATATAAAAGTGGTTGTTAACAACAAATATTTGTTGTTAACAACCACTAAACACATTCATTTCATTTTTATTGACAACAGTTATTATTTTTAAAAATGATGCAATAACTCAAAGTTTATACAGGGGTACAGAATATGTCTGAATGTGCAAACAAGGTTCAGGGAAATTAAAGCACTCCTGAGAAAATTTGCAATAGTAAAAAATTATGGCAATAGACAAAAAACTGTTACAATAAAATGGAGTAGCATCTTGGCTAACCCTATAGACATTAATTGGGAAAATTTGTCAAAACTTAGGGCAAGCTTTGTTACAAAAGTGTAATTGGAACATTCAATATCTAAATGTCTGACTAAAAGGCAAAAAATTAAATGTGACACAGATTATGAATGTGACAGTTATGTGAGGGATAAGTCAATCTTGATTACTAAATTGTGGTTTTGACTTTCACAAAAAACTGAAGCCAAACTTTATAAAGAAGTGAAAAAGAAAATTGGTTTTATTTCAGAACTCTTTTCAATACTATTTAAATGGGCAAAATTTAATGTCAGTCTAAATTAAAATAATACAGCCATTTGTTCCTCACAAAAAATTTGCAAATTAACAAACTGTGTTTAAAAACATTTTTTGAATTGTCTTGATTAAATAGCTGTACAAGTTTTATCATTACTTTATTAACATATTTTCCTTTATTTTTCATATTTTTTTATAAATATATTTCAATGCCAATACTTTAAAATTTATTGTAAAGTAAAAAATATCATAAAAATGTGGTTATGCTTTCAAAAAAACAAAAATAATGAAGTCAGCAAAAAACTCAAAAAATTGCTACATTTCTTAAATAATTTTTCAGAAAAAAATTGCACGACCATTGTAATTGTAAAGAAATTTTGCATTTTTGGACATCATAAAGCCTGTTAATTAGCACTCCATGCTAAAAATAAGTCATCCATGGTGTTGTAACAATGCCAGTCATATTCAACTTTAATTTTCTTTCCATTATAATCAACATATTAAAATCAAGCTTATAATCGTATATGCTAACTTATGATAAGACTTCCTTAAATTAAAGCATTCTTTTAAATTTAATTTATCAGTTTAGTGTTGTACAGCAAATTATATGGTAGGTCTATTTAACTATTTGTATAATTTAATTAGAATGTTTCAAACTATATAGTAATAATTATTAGTTTGTTCATAAAATGTTTTATTATGTGTGCTGGTGTGCAACAATTATGGGGACATTCTGTATATTCTGATGAAATTTACGCTCTGAGGAAATTTTGAGTCCTGGAAATATTTTGTATGCATGTTTGTGCCATTCATTTTTCAGATGATCTGAAATAGACTGATATCTTGCATATCTACATAACTTACATATTTAAAATGTCTTCTAAATTTTATATTAAATTTTTTTCATTAACTTTTTTACATAAAGAATTTTAAAATAAAAGTATTTAATCATTATTATTTAAATATCTCTTTAAGAGATTAACTATTTATTTGGAAAATTGGGAAAAAAGCTTATTTGATAACAAAGATCCATTTTAATATATTAATTGGTAATTAATTAGTATTACATATAAAAAAAATTGTACAAAATACCTTCAATGTATTGCTTGAAATCTTGTCTAAAGGTTCAAATGAACATGTACTTGATGAAGGTGACTTAGATGGAATTGTACGAGATGCCATTATTCTCTTTCACAAATAATCCAATATCAGAAAAAGATGAATGATGTTTGATATTTCAAAATCTGTTAAATATATTAAATATAAATTTATTTTTACATATATTTGGAAATGTTTTATTATAATAGATTAAAACATTTTTATCATCATATAATAAAAATAATACACAAATTCTTTAAAAAATGCATATTTAAATTCAATAAAATATATAAATTGTATAAGTTATATTTTAATCTGTTTTCTTCTCTTTTATTACCTAAAGATCTACTGAAAAATGTTTAGCATGTAATCCTTGTTGATAAGCAAATTATATTATTTTTCAACACTATCTCACAGGNGAAAAGCGGTGTTGCAAACGCATCTTCGCCGCACGGCGGTAATCTGCTTACATTTTGGCACGTGTTCAGTATTCAAGATGGCAAATGATACTGATATTGCCGCTATCCACGTGTTTACAAATTTTGTTTTGTATGGCTTGTTTTATTTAGTTAGAAGATTTTGTCAAAGTTTCGAACAAAGATTTTGAATTAGAGATATTTTCTTGGACTGATAAAGAACTGGTGTACAAAATACGCTTATTCTTCGATAAAGAATACTATTTCGAGTAAGATTCGGTTGTTTTGTTCTTTGAATTAAATTATATATGATTACAGTAGAGTGTCATTTATCCGAATCAATTGGGGACTGGGGTTGTTCGGATAACTGATTGTGTACGAAAAAATATATTAACCTATCCCGTGTTGAAATTTTTCTCCGTTGCATGTCACTTCGCATTGAATTTTCATCGATGTTAAGCCTAACGTAAACTTTTTAAAATAATAATCGTGGCTATTGTATCGTTAAAAATTATTTCTTTATTTTGTACAAACAAAATAAATATATTGAAAAATATAAAAACCAAAAAAAATGTACTTTAGAAGTTGATCTAGTATCAAAAACGTTCGATTCAGCACCATACACAGTCCTCAGAAAAACACCACACAAAAGTGCCAGTGCTGCCAGCTAAAAACACACACACCAAACAAAAAAAAATATTGGAGTAGCCCAAGATATAGCCAAAGATTGCAGCGCCACAGCACTAGCGAAAATTTGAATTTGCCGACTGGAATTCTTTTGGATAAACGACGCTCTATTGTATTTGTGTAGAATTTCTGTTAAATTTATTATCCTTTCCTCTTTATTCTGATGTTAGTTATCTTGATTAACCGCATCGAACTTTCCGCCATTAAAACACCACGTGATTTTATTTTCTCACGTGACTACCAGACAAACTGTTATTAGCTGATAGAAACGTGTCTTGGCGGCGATTTTTTGAAATTCCCCCCACAGGGAAAGTGACAGGATTAAGGCTTCAACAATGGAAGTGTTGAGAAAAAGCAACATGCAAGAGTTACAGGTGCAGATGTGGTTTTTTTTGCATTAAATTGAACATAATTTTAGACCCATCTAAAAATTTTCTAATTAGTCTGGAAACAGGACAACCTAATTCTTGCTTTCTGTGAAAATGGGTAAGATTGGCTGTAATGTAATAATTTTAATCTTCACTATCGTTACTTTTTGCGCAAGCAACGCTGGGCTTATCTACTAGTTTATAAATAAAATTGTTAATGTAATTTGTATACAACCACTGTGTTATCTCATACAGCAGTGCCATTAGACACAACTGCAATGGTATAGATGACAGCTAGGCCAAGGATTATGCACATTT